GGAGCCTGGGAAGCTTTAACCAACTGGTGGAGACGTCACTTCAGAAAATCTCACATTAAGGGTAGGAGTCTTAAATATTTAAAAATTTTACTCTGTAACTTTTTTCAAGACACTTAAAAGCTCACATAGACAATATAAGAATCATATTTGGGATCTGGAAGTTAGCTGAAGATTTAGAAAACAGACGATTTCATGCTAATTCCTTAAGTTGTCTAAGTGGTCAGCCTCACTTCAGGTTAGGTTATTTTGAACCCTGAGTAATAATACCAGAACACAACCTTGCATAGATGAGACCATTTACCAGGAAAGGTTAGTAACGATTATCTCTGTGTGGTGCTGATTTCTAGCTAGTTTTTGTACTTCTTTTATATTTTCCAAGTTTTCTACATCCTTTTTTCTAAACAAGTTTTGTAAAACAGGTATTTTATAACTCTGTAGCTGGTGATATTGAGAAAGAATTGGTGAAGCAAGATATAGTGGCTAATTTGGGAACCAAACTGATAGGTTCCTCATTTGTAAAATTGGAAAAACCAAACTGATAGGTTCCTCATTTGTAAAATTGGAACCTACCTCATAAGATGCTATGAGGATTAAATGAATTAATGAGTAATAAAACACTTAAAATAGTGCCTGGCTCACAAAAAGTGCTATATAAATAATCAGTGAACTTCATTTAGAAAGTTCTCTGGATTACTGTCTTAAAAACAGGACATTCTCATCTTTACAAGAGTAAAGTTTAGCATAGCTTTTTTTTTTTTTTTTTATAAGAACAAAAACTTCATTTAGGAAAAGAAAAGCTTTTTCCTTAAAGTTCATTTATCTGCAGATATCATTAGTGTGTGGAGTACTTTCCTTCTTTTTTTATTTTTATTTTTGTTTTGAGACAGGGTCTCTCTCACTCTAGTTGCCCAGGCTGGAGTACAATGGCACGATCTCAGCTGATTGTCACCTCAACCTCCCAAACTCAGGTGATTCTCCCACCTCAGCGTCCTGAATAGCTGGGACTACAGGTGCATGCCACCATGCCCAGCTAATTTTTTGTATTTTTAGTAGAAACAGATTTTCCCTATGTTGTCCAGGCTGATCTTGAATTCCTAAGCCCAAGCAGTTTGCCTGCCTCAGCCTCCCAAAGTGCTGGGATTACAGGCATGAGCCACCATGCCCGGCCCTTTCTCTTTGTTTTTGGCAGTAACCGTTGTGGTTACCTATAGCAAAGTTCTTCTGGGCCACAGGCTTCATTGTGCCAGCTTCATAGCTATGAATCATCAATGACAGTGACCTTCAGGGCTTTGCTAACTCACATTACACCAATTAAGTGGTTTGGTTTCACTTCGCCTGTTTTCATCCCTGCACCCAAGACGTTGCTTAAGCCATGAGAATAAACGTAAAGACAGGAAATAATAGTGATATTATCCCATACCTCAAGTTTATTTTTAGCTCACGGGCTTTGTCTTGCTCATCATTTCGAGGTGTAAATTCCCTTGGGAAGAGAAATCGGAAGCATGATGTGGAGCTTGACAAATGACTAATTTGAAATGGAGCCATCTTCATTCTTTGTAACTTGAATCTCAATTTCTCAGTTTTTCTCAAATATTCTACTGTAAGCAAACCTTCACAGAAATAACTCCTCTTAGAGACCACAGTGAGCTGTGTACTGTGTAGGGCTTTATTAGAACAAGCACACAAACAAAAGCAGGTGGCTGTTAAGCCTAGTGATCCCAGTTTATAAAGAAGCCGTTGACTTGTCTGCAGAACCGAGTCGCATTTGGATTCTGCCACAGAGTAACCATGCTAAGGGTGACCTCTGTAGCTGTGGTTTCTGCATCTTGGGAGAGAGTGGATGGAACCGTGTGATTGCTATGGGAGTGTTGAGTGCTAACGTTCAAAGGTTCTGTTTACCTGCTCCCCACACTATGGAAATTCACTGAGCTGTGTGGTGTCAGGTTCTTACATTCAGTGGAGCCACTGGCAAGATTATATATGATTATTGCTTTGTTGATTGTTCTCAGAAAAAAATGGTGGTGGTGGTAGTGTTCAGCTATTAAAAGCTTTATGGTCCAGAGTTGACCAAGGTGTTGATTGCATTGTGATTTTTTTTTTGGGGGGGGGTTTATTTGTTTATTTGTTTTTTTTTATTGCATTTTAGGTTTTGGGGTACATGTGATGAACATGCAAGATTGTTGCATAGGTACACACATGGCAGTGTGCTTTGCTGCCTTCCGTCCCCTCACCTGTATCTGTCATTTCTCCCCATGCTATCTCTTCCCACCTTCCCACCCCCCGATTTTTTTTTAATGAAAAAATTAAAAGTATCACCAGTATATTCTGTAGCTTCAAAACATTACCATGAGCCTGAAGGTGAGAAAGCATGAAGTGTGTGGAGTTGTATCTCTGCTTCCATCTTGTCCGGCTGGTCTGTAAATTTATCTTTCATTCAGTGCTTGAATTGGTGATGTTGCGGCTGCTGCTAGTCAGTGAAGGATTAGAATTGTTGGCTTTCTGTTTTAAGGTCCGTGATAGAAGTCGTGGTAGGGCAGACTGGTCCTGTAATTCAAAAGGAATAATGAAATGTCTAATAGAAGACAATTATAAACAAAATCTAGACCAAGAGGAGAATGTTTAATTTCCCAGGTTGCTGACTTTCTCAAGACCTACTGTGCTGTGATCTGATCACTCTGAGAGTGTGATTTTGTTTATTAACCTATGTAGCTGTACTCTGTTGGCCAGACTATGTAGACAGACTATAATAAGGCAAGAAGAAGTAAAAATGTATAGAAAGTCAAATTCTAAATGATAATAAAACAGTAATATTTCTGTGGCCATAATGGTAAGTATATATAGTATTCTCTAAACCATAACTCACAACACATGTTTAAACCATGAGTAAAAACGGCCTTTGACAGTTTTTTAAAGATTGCATAATTAAAGTTTCTTAGCTGGAAGGGCCATAGCTGGGGAAGACTCTTGATGGAGAGGACACAGGCCATGAGGAATGCAATGTTTATAGTCAACTTTCTTCGTAGTAATAGTCCATGCTGTAAGCTATAATATAAATGGACATTTAAATTTGATCTAAAAATAATTTTAAAAGTTTATGTGCATGGCTGTAAGCATCGAAGGTAAAAGAGTAAGGGTGAAGTGAAAAAACATGATGTTAAAATAGCGCTTCTTTGGAGCTAATTAATTCCTTCAAGTTGCAAAGCAGTCACACAAGTACAAATCTCTATTTAGACTATGTTTGATTTTCATTTTGAAAACCACATTCAAGACAAGCTGAATTACATTTAAATTCCCTTCCAGCTATAGATATGTGTGCCTCACTCTATAAATGTCACTGTCGATTTTGATGTATAACCACAGAAGATATTGTCGAGTTATATATGCAATAGGATTTTATTTTTAATGTTGCACCAGGTATTTTTGCATTTGTGGTGTCAGCAGTTTAACACAGTATTTTTTTCATTAATATTTTAGTCCTCGTTGCCTTCTGTCACTCAAGAAATGTCTTTTTATTCGAAAGTGTTTATAAGATCTTCAGTTTCGAGTGTGGCTTTCCTCTGTTTCCTGCCTTGTTTCTCATGATGCAGCTGTTAAACAGCCAGTGTGTTAAAATGCAAGGCAGTGTGCTTTTAGCTCTGATGGAACTCTGAACATTAAAGTTACTCATTCAAGAACTATTTGTTGAGCAAATACTATAAACTGGGTTTTAATAAGGGATATAACATGTAATACGATAAGGACTGCCCTCATTTGGCTCACATTCTAGCAGGTAATAAAGGCAATCCAAAGAGAGGCAAACATATACTGTCAGGTAGGGAAAAGCGCCTCGAGAATACAAAAGGGGATGGAGAGCTGACAGGATAGCTGTTCCGGAGTCATCTGTCAGAGAAGGTCTGTCTGAGGAGCTGACCTTTGCGCAAACCCTGAGAATACCTGGGAACAGAATGTTTCAGGCAGAGGAACAACAGAGCTAAATTTCTGAGAGGGAGCTGGCTAGTGGGTTCCAGGAAGAAGCCTGAGGCCCTGTGCCAGCAGGGTGGTGAGTGATAAATTCACATAGGCAGCCCAGGGCTGGACTGTACGGATGTGTATACCGGCTTCTATTCTAAAGGTAATAGAAGCCAGGAGAGTGTTTTTGAGTGCAGGGGAGTAATGAGGTCTGACTTTGATTTTTTAATTTCAAGGATTATTTTAACTGCTATATAGGCAGTAGATTCCAGGAAGTGAGAGTGAACCAGGTGACCCATTAGAGACTTGCTCAGTAGTCCCAGCAAGAGATGGTGGTGGTCTGGATTAGGGAGGTATGAATGGAGATAATGAGATACGGGTGGGTTTGGGATATTGGGGAATGATTAAATATGAGCTTTATTAGAGCACATCGTATTCTCTCTTAAGGGTGGCAGCAGGAGGCGGAATTTAGTACCAGTACAAGCTCCTCTTTAGTGGTGGTTTCCAGGTGGCAGGGTTTTTATGTTTTAGAGCAGTGACCGTGGTCTGAGGCTTAGCAGCATAAAATGAAAAATGACATTTGAAAATTGTGGAAGCAAAGATTTTCAAGGTAGGGCTGTAAGGATTAATAGGGTCAAAATTCTACATTGATGTTTTTTGCTTTTTTTTTTTTTTTTTTTTTTTAACCTTCTTGAGGCAAATTTGTTTGATGCTAGCTGGGATAGAAAGAGCAGCATGAACAGGTACGTTCCTGCTTCAGTTTCCAGGGCTCAGCTGCACCCAGGCTCAGGACATGGCCCAGGTGAGGAGAAGCGCTCTCTGGAGCCCCCTGAGACTGCCTGCACACCTGCTGAGCCTGTCATCATAACACAGTGACGTGACGCTTCGTTTCATTCAACCTGAGTGTGAAGGGGTTTCAGACATGCATGGCTTGCTTGTTCGTTTTTAGCAAGTTTCTTTCTTTCTTTCTTTTTTTTTTTTTTCCCTCCCTCAGGTTTATTTGTACAAATAGCACAGGAGGACCCCAGCCCCATGCAGATGGCAGCCCCGGGTGGGGCGGGGGTCGCACCAGTCCTTCTGTCCTCACATTGGCAGAGATATCTACTCTGAAGCCTTTGTAGGGGCCTGGGCACCTTTGGGAGACTGAGCTGGAACTGAAGCTGGAGCTGCAGCCTGGGCCTTGTTTTGATCTTTGGCCTTGGCCTTGGCCTTTGGCCAGCACAGCCTGAGCCCCTTGGCCATGTGTGCACAAGCACGCTTCCCAGGCTTGGGGTGGGCAGTGTAGGCAAGTCGATCGAGCTTTTGGCTGACACCCCCCTTTGGGATCTTGGACTTAACCTCCTCGGGCTTTACGAGGGCCGTGATGGCCTCGGCACGTGCACTTATGGGTTTGGCATTGCTGGCCTGCAACTTCTTTAGGCCCTTCTTGGCAAAGCGCATGTTCCTCAGGAACTTGGGGTCCACCCCCTTAAGAGATTCGTATCTTTGCGATCGGGGTTTCTTGATACCATTTCTGTGCCATTTTCGGGACTGGTTGTGTGTGGTGTGGTTCTTGGACTTGGCCATGTCTGCACCTAAGCTGCCCGTTTTTAGCAAATTTGTTAAGGGCCAGGGTGCCCGAAGAGGCATGTTTCTGCTCTCACCTCCCTTCCTGTAACAGCCACCCCTGCTTTCACCTGGCTCTTCCCCACCCCGACCCCACCGTAACACAGACTCACTTCCTACATGCTTTCGTTCCTCATGGAATCTCTGAGCGCATTTCTCATCTCCATGAGCTGCTCTGCGCTTTGATCCCTGTTCCATCCTCTTCATTTGTACCCACCATCCCAATTCAGTTTATCTTTCTTTTTACTTCTCCCCAGAATAGGAGCAGTGCTCTGAGCTGAGGGAATGAATACACAAAGTAAGCGTAGATTGCTAGTAGAGGTCAAACCAGATAATTTCCCACTGTGAATCTCCTTTCCACTTTGCATTGTTACCTTTTAAAGAAAAAATGAATGTCAATACACTTACTCATCTCCCCACCCCGCCCCCCCACCAGCATCGAATAGCATCAGTCTTCTTTACAAAAGACACTGTTTTTTGCCCAGTAGAATCTTGCGGAAGAAAAAAACTTGTTGATTACAAGATACGGTGACTGTGTAAGCTTTCTGTTAGGTACACTCACTTTTTTGTAGAAAGTTCGCTTTTGGAGTGTTTATGTGCCTCTGCAGAAGAGAAGTTGACAGAAGATGGATCCTCGAAGATGAGCAGTTAAAGGAGTGGCCCACTGGAAGGGGTGGGAAAGGGAGCAGGTAACGGGTTATTTGCATTGTGTTTGGTAAGTCAAGACCAGGTCTACCTATAGAGCATCCTGAAGGAGACACAAACAAATAATTTCTGGGCTCTCCCCAGCTAAAAGGAGACTGAAGTCTTAGTGCAGGAAGGAGTTCAAGGCCTAAAACCCAGACCTTAGAGTGGGTAACGTGATTTGCTCTATAGGGAACAGTCGCCTCAAGTCAGCAGTTTCTGGAAACTGACATAGTCAGGGTGAAAAAGACAGTAACCCTGCAATCCTTTCCTTTCTGCTCTGGCAAATAGTTCACTGTTTCTGTGCTGCCAAGACCCCGAGATTTCAGGCACACCTCCGTCAGATCCAGTGGGAATGGTGGAGAGTCCCACTGACCCACTGGCTTGCTCAGGCGAAAGGTCTCTTTGCACCTAGTATGTGCTGCTTCAGTTGCAAACCAAATAAGAGAAACACTGGACCATGTCCAGGTCATGCACTGTACTTGAAAATTATTGAATTCTGGAATTTTACCTAACTCAGGCCTTCAGACACAAGCAGCATCTCAGAAGGGCAGCTCTCTGCTTGAAAGAAGACCGTGGAAGAAGATGCGCTGAGGCTCTGTGGCCGTTGTGCGCCCTGTATGACCTATCCTCCCCAGTTTACCTTTGGCTTGTTTATACAGAATTATGTAGGCCTTTCATACTTCGCTATAGGTTAAAAATGCCTGATTTAAATCATTAAAAGTTCTAGAAATTGCTGCAGTTCTTTTTTGAGGAAGCAGAATATAACATTACCTTTAAGGATATTCAAGGTGTCTTAGTCTACGTTTAAATAGGTTACAAATAGATGGAGGGTGAGGGTCCACGAGGACCACCTCTGCATCAGCTCTGTGTCCTCAGACTCTCCGTACAGAGCCTACCTTGCTTTGGTTGATTTTAATTTACTTGAACTGGTTGATTTAATTTAATTTGCTCTGAAACCTTCATGAATGAATCCTCATACCCTCTCCTCAAAGTAAATATTCAGAACAGCTACCATCTTTTACAAACAAATTGAGCAGAATGTGTTGCTAAAATAGGTTTGTTTAAGCTTCCCAGGTTGTGGAAGTTAGTGTGTTCATATTTACTGTGCTGCCCACCATTAAGCTATCACGGAGCACGCGTTTTCCCCCACTCACCCAGACAGTATTCCTCAAGAGCTATTTTTTGTTGCCATCAGAGCACACTTTAGTCTCTGGGGGGAAAATAAGTTGACGATTCATATCAAACAGAAATGATCTTTTGTTGTATGTGACTGAAGCTCTTGTGAGAAAAGGTACAGACAGTCAGAAGGAAAGACGGAGAGGGATTGCCTGCAGCCTCCCTGCGTGCATGTGTGTGAGTGGGTGCTCCCACCAGCATTCTGGGGGCTTTGTTCACAAATATGAGCACTGATTTCAGGAGATCTGCAGCGGAACGTCAAGTCATTAATATTTTTTATAAGGAGAGAAATGATATAATTTTATCACAGATGATTTTTCAGATGTGCTTTTCCATTTTAAAAATTCATTGGCAGTGCTCGTACAAGAGAATTACTTGAGCTGAAAATGACTCTGTCCAGTTTCTTCCTATTTTGTTAATGATATTGCAGCCACTGAATTCTTTGTAAAAGTTTCTGTATAACCCAGATAAAGTCAGACCTCCTGGAAGCCAGCTTCAGCCCAGAGACATATGAAGAGAAGCACCTAATATCACTGAAAAGCAATTTAAATTTATACTGAATAATCTCATTCATAAACCACAGCACAACATTCTGAAGTCTACTCCTCCAAGAATCCATAGCTCTCTGCCACTCTGTTGACTTTTTGTCTCACTCTTCCTTTAACTACCTCAGAAATCTCTCATCTCTCATCTCTCATCTTCTGTAAGACTTTCCCTCCTGCCCAGCCTACTCAGGGCTCTCTGCTCCTCGCTGTCTGTTATCTGCCTCTCATTAGCTTTGCTCTTTCCGGTGTCAATCCAGGCTGCCACCATTCTCCCACTAACCTCCTCACCCCTCACCCCTTCCCCAGTCTGCATCACAAAAGCGCAGTAGCCCATCTGGCCAGACACAGCTCCTCCTCTGCCAGGTGGCTTGGGGGTGGGGGTCCTGGGATGCTCAAAGGCTAATGCTTCTCTCTGTGATGGTTATTATCTGAGAAGTTTTCATGCACCGAAATTCACTTAAGACAATCCAATTAAAGGAATTAAGTCAGATGTACATAAAGATCAATAAGATATACCTCTTCTTTAAGACATGCATCAATGCATGTAGGTCTGTGCATTCTCTCTCTCGCTCTGTTTCTCCCTCCCTCTCTCACCTTTGGCCAAATTGTTAAGTGTTTGGACAGCAACCACACAAATAAGAAGGAGTTTTTGGAATGATCATAAAATTTCCTAATCCTAACAGCCATCCTGCAAATCCATGACCATCAGTCTCCATATGGCAGTGAAGAAGTAACTACAGATGAGTCAGCAGAAATTTATTGCCAGTCCCTGGGAAAACAACTCGTGTTTTAGGCCCTCCTGATGATGGTTGGAGTTTCATTGATTTCATGTACAAAGGAGGGCGTGTAAGATACTATCTTTTCATATTTGCTGTTATTGCAATATAGTTTGCCCTGGAAAAGAACATCACTGTTTGTGGAAATGATACATTTTGTGAAGTGCTGGAGTCCTGTAGGATTTGTAATGGATGTCAGTATACAAAGAGAATTTTCCATTTTATCATAAATATACTTCACTCCCCATTTGTGGGAAACACTAATAAGAGCATGGGCTCTGAATCAGACCACTGGGTTCAAGGCCTGGCCCAGTTTCACCGCTCTGTAGATGTACAGCTAGATAACTGTGCCTCAGTTTCCGTTTCTTTGTGATGGAGACATTAATGGTTCTACTTCATAAAGCCGTTGTCAGCGTTAAATGGGTTGTATTTGAAGCTTTCAGAACTAGATCCAGAGCCTTGAAAGGGCTCTGTAAATGACAGCTCTCATTTCTCCTCTTCTCCTCTTCCTCCTTCTCTTCTTTCTCCTCTTCTTCCTCCTCCTCCTCTTCCTCCTTCTCTTTCTCCTCTTCCTCTCCTTCCTGCTCCTGTTCACTTTAGTGAAGGAAGAGATCTTTGATTTTATTGCCTGGCCTTAAGGTTAAGAATATATAGCAAAGTTCTAGTAGCATATCAGCAGGCCTTAAAATGAAGTTACTTTTAAGATAAGTTGTAAAGACATTGCATGAATTACCATATATTGGAGAAGAACTTGAGTTTTCTCCTTTTAGATAGAGTAGTGGTCAAATCATTGTAACGCCAGGTTTCACAGCATTGACTTTGGATGTCACATGAATTCCTAACTTAAGGAGCACAGGGCTGGTATTCTTCCACTGATAAAGGCCCCACAGACCTGACAAGAGAGGATATGGTAGTTTTTCTGGTGTTATCCACAAAGGCTAGATGTACTTCTAACTTTTACTCGTCTCTCTGTGATTTACAGAGGACTGTGATTTGGAAAGGCGTCCACATTCTTTCTGAATCCATTGATACTTTTTTCCTACATCATCTCCTGAAAAAATCATTTTCTGTGCTTTGTGGTTAAAAAAAGAATAAAAAACCTGACTTGGTAGTTAAGGGCCTGTCTCTAGTCTCAGACCAACCTGGATTTGAGCCCAGCACTGCCCTGTGACTAACCAACTAGGGACAAATCTCTCTGCAACTGTAAAAGAGAGTCGTGATACTGGCCTTGTAGGGTAGACGGGAGGATTAAGTCAAAGCAGGGGAGAGGGTAGCTGACTACGACAGCCTTTTATCCTGAGTGGTTATCAAGGAAAACAGGAATCCTGCTAGGAACAGCTGAGAGGATTTCGTTGACCTGAGACTTCCAGAGTCCCAGCGTGGGTGGAAAATGAGCACCTCTAGGAGAGTCTGGGAAGGGCCCTTGAGAAATTAGATGAATGTCTCTCAGAGCAACCATGCGTGTCTGTCCTTTCTGGCAGCGGCTCCGAATCCTTGGCCACTCATTCCGTCCCTTCATTGGGAATGATGATTGCACAGTGCAGGTATCAAGCTCCCTCCTCCCGTGGAGAGCCTTGGTTTGCAGTGCACTTTCCCCGAGGAGGCCAGGCTGGATTTGGATATGGTTGTATGTCTTCTGTCGGAGCTTGTCAGAAGATGAATGTTCCAGGGCCCTTAATGACTGGATAATAGTCCCTTGGTCACTGAATAATGAACCCCAGACGCATGAAGGAAATGTATTTTCTGGCCTCAGGAATGATTAAGTGATTCAGGAATGGGGCCTG